AAAGACGCTGTTTGGACGTAAATTTCCAACATATGAAACAGATTTTCTCATATATTTATTCATTTCATTCCAAGCAAGATAATAATGCCACTAAGACACAAGGGATTACTGTTTTTGAAAAAAAATGAGAAGACTTTAAGAAAAGGAACCGAAAATCCAATTCAAAACAGGAAGCAATGGATAAACCTCTTTTATAAAAGACGGTGAAGGAATGTGAACTGGGTGATATTATTATTAGTTTCCTTTTGGGAATACTCAAAAAACACAGCAAATCATAGGAATGTTGTTTAAAGAAAACGCCCTTTTACCTAAAAAAAAAAAAATTCCCAAATACTCAACTGCTGAGCTCCGAGCCGGTAATTTGTCTCTGTTGTTTCATATGTGCCGGCCTCTGCTGCATTTTAGGCAGGCCTACAGCTTTTATGCAAACACACAACAGATAGAGCAATGATACAAAAAACACTAAGAAGAGTGCGTCAGGGATGTGTTTTCTCAATGGATTTATTTAACTTGTACAGCGAGATGATTCTAAGAGATTTAGAAGACCTGTCATTTATTTATTATTAATGAATATAATTATATCAAGCTACGCAGATGGGTTGGTACTGTATAATGTTCTCTTTCCAGCCTTAATAGTGTTTGACTTATTTTCCATTCTACAGCCTTTTTCCCCACAGGCGTAAAGTTGCAAGCCTATTGCTACTCTATCGCTATTTCCATAGTAAATGCTCAGGTGAGCTCTACTCTTCCACCAGTTCAGAATTTTACATCTAGTACTCACCACAGAGTTGAATCACATGCATTTCTACCGTATACTATTCGCAAGAAAGAAATTCCTCTCTGACAGGTATTTTTTTTTCCTTTTCTCGAGAACTGATACTCTTGGGAACAAACAGCCACGTGGAGGTTTCTCTGAACGCTTCAAGGCAAGGATCAATCACTATCTATCTTTCCTATCCTTATAATCTTCACTTATTTCTACCTCTTCTATCAAAATACATTCAGTAATTCTCTACCATGAATGGCTATCGATCCTTGCATCGGATGAACTTTAGTATAAAAAACAATGACATTTTTATGGCGGTAAATTCAAAAGGAAAGTTCTAAGAACTGTTAGGTATGATAGTCGAGGAAAGCGAGAAGAACTGACCAGACAGAATTTATAGTGGTGAGCAAAAGGGACATTTCAAGATATGAATTACACATCAGGGATGTCAAAATTAGACAAGTGTGGAAATACAATTATTCGGGTAGTGTAATAACAGACGATGAAATGTGTATCTCAGAAATTCGAAGACATATCAGTCAGTTATGTGCCATACGTGATACACGCTTAGGCGATCATGTATCTTTCAATACATGACTGACGAGGTAGATTTTTTTCCCCGCAGTATGTTGCCATTTCTTTCTGCGGTAGACCAGTTGCTATCCAAGGCTATAGAACCCGATCTGTCCTGCTATTTACCCATAGCTTGTAGGGAGAAGAAGAGGATTCATACCTTTCCCAAGGGTATTAGCACGTAAGTGAATGCATTATATTCGACTGGAATTCAAACTCGGCTCTCCGATTCCTCAATCCATTACTCTACCGTAATAGCGAATGACGCATGTCGGAAACTGTGAAAGGTACTCGCAAATATCATATACAAAGCAATTTTAAGGAAAATCACGTCAACCCATTGCGTCGAACGAGCAACACGTGCTGTAGCCATAGATGGTGCGTCTAGGGTAAGATAGCCTGATTAAGTCCATCCTACTTCAACTGGTTTCGAATTCAGTTTTCATTCGAGACTGTTTACCACCTCAAGAAAAGTGTCCAGTCTGCCCTACTAGTTAACCCATAGCTGTAGGAAGATTGAGTTATGTTTTTACGATTTATCAACCTTTTGCAGGTTATTTAAATCCAGAAAATATTTTTAGGTTGTAAGAATTTTTTTGGAGATAATATTGATTTACTAGTACATGTCTTACTAATTAATCTATAGCTGGGGGGGAAGTGGTAATTTCATACTTTTCCTTGGGGTATTTGCGCGTAAGTGAATATAACGACCCCGAGTTTCTTGTTTCTTGGCTAATATTTTCCCATTCTTCACAACAAAATTCCTTTAGTACATGCAGGCTTTGCGGGTTCCTTCTTTGAATTCTCAGTTTCAACTCTCCCCATAAAATTTCAATCGGATTGAGATCTGGAGATTGACTTGGCCATTTTAGAATGTCTATTCTATTTGAACATAACCCTGATTTTATAAGCTTTGCAGTATGTTTAGGATCGTTGTCTTGTTGAAAGACCCAACCTGGTTTCAAGCCAAGCGAATGCGCACTCTGACGTAAATTTCTCTGTAAACTATCCCTATAATATGCTCCATTCATCCTCCCTTCTATTAATTTCAATGTTCCCTACACCTTGAGCACTAAAGCAACCTCAGATCATGATTAATCCGCCTTCAAATTTTACTGTTAAGATAGTATTCTTCGGCGAATACTAAGTACCCTTCTTTCTCCAGACCTTTGCCACAGCATTTCTATCAAAAAGTTCAATTTTCGTTTCGTCTGACCAAAATAAATTTTCCCAAAATGGTGCAGGTTTGATACAATGATCGTTTGCAAAAACCAGTCTATCAAGAACGTGTCTTCGCTTAAGAAGTAGTTTTTTTTTACTTGTAGTTCTCGAAAAGAGGTCATATCGACAAAGTGAACGACTAATTGTATCCGTATTCACTTTTACTCCACTTACTTCTAGTCCCCCCTGAAGTTCTTTAAGCGTAACTCGGGGCTCGTTGCCAACTTCTCTCGCCAATAATCTTGTCGTACATTCTGTTACATTTCTAGGAAGACCAGAGATTTTTGGGGACGAATGGAATGACACGTCTTCCAATGGCGAACTATCGTACCAACTGAACTCAATGGCACATTTAACTGACTAAATATCTTCCTATAACCAAGTCCATTTGTATGAAGACCAACAATATGTTAACGGAGGACTTAATCAATTGTTTTGCTTTTCTCCATTTTGTCAATGTTTAAGGAACGATTGAGAGAAAAAGAATGGCTCAATACTTTTAATCATTCCTAATAGTAATCATAAAATTAATCTGGAACGTTCTAAAATAAACAACTCCATCCTAATTTGGAACATTCTAGTAAACTTTGAGCACTTAAAAAAAAAAAGTTGTTGTAAATAAAACATGTTTTATAAACTTTTGAACTACTTCATGGGATACTTTTTTAAAGTTTTAAGTTTTTAAAAAAAAATCTATTTTACTGAATATCTAAATATGTGTTCTATGAACAGTAAAAGTTTAATTAATGTAACGGTATTCGAAATACCTAAAAAAACATATTTGTAATGGGTTGTAAACTTTTGCGTGGCACTGTAGACAATAGAATATCGTTGCGTGTTAATGAACAACGAACATGAATGAAGGAAACATTTAAACTACAGAAGATGTTTGTGTAGAAATAAGTGTAACAAGCGTGTGTGATAGACACCAGTGTGTGTGTGAGACAGAGTTTAAAAGTCAACAGACGACCAAGGGAAGAGAACGCGCTCAAGCGGCAGCGTTCTTATTTACGTGCGAGCTACATCTTATCTCGTAAGAGGAAAATATGAAAAAGAGAGTGAGAGAAAAATATTAGTCTATTTATAGTCTTAAAAGCGTCCCCTGGCGGCGGTTTTTTTTATTAGGAAAGTAAGTGGGAGGGGGTTAACTCCACAAGTCTATGAAAGCCAAATAAAAATCGAAAGGCAGTTACAACATATGCTGAAATTCACGTTCATTCTTTATGAATTTGAATTTCAAAACTGTATGCAGACAGCATAATGGCTACCAACACGGTACCGGATTCAAATTCTGCCTGAGTGGGTTATGTTCACTTTGTACTAATGAACTCAGAAAAGGTAGGAATTCATCTCTTCTTCCCACAACCACCCAGGACTGACTGAGCTAGCTAACCTCAACTGGCAGCCAGTCTAAGCGTGCTACTACTCTGAATAAAATAAAAAATAAAAAATAAAAAAAACGCGGAAAAGGCAACGGGAACTGCTCCGCTATATTCCCACGTAGTCATGCCAATTCACAGCGATTAAAGAATAGACGAGTGTGGACAATAAGATCAAATGTAAGAAAAACAAATATGCTGTGACAAAAGGTTTATAATAAATTTATTTAAAGTTTGCCAACAGCGGAATTGTTACTTTAGAAATATAGAAATTCATTTTTCAAAATATTAATAACATAATTTTGTTTCAACAATAAAGGCTTTGGGATAGAGGTTCCATCGATCTACTTCACCAAAATTGAGTCTGCCAAATATAACAGGATGACTGCTATGTGTTCTTTATTAAGAATAATATTTTTATTTTTAATTTCCCCGAATACAGTAGAGAACAGACTTATCTGAACATACGAAATATTTTTAACATTGGTCCTTCTGAAAGATGCTTAATTCTCCCCTTCGTCCAATGAGAAGTAATTGTTCGTGGGACGAAAACAATGTACCAGGTGAAATATTTTGTCTCTCAAAAAAATAAATAAATGGAAAAAAAAATCTAGGGTTGCTGAAAAGTTTCCTGTTAGACCAAGAAGTGGACTGAATGAATCCTTTTATCCTTTGCTTCAATAAAGTGATTTCTAATAAGTCACAAACTTAAATATCTATAAGTTGCTTAGAATTACTGTAGATATTATTACCAACTTCTTCTCCTTGACCTGTATCACCCGATTAAAGAAGCCTGGTCGAGCTGCATCACCTCTCGATCCATTTGAAGGGATTATAAAGATGACCTTGTCAGAAGAAAGGCGCCGGAAGGAGATTTGTTGATAAAAATCTATCAGTCTGTAGAGTTCGTTCTTTAGATAATGGAACAAGCAACTCTTTGATAGGCTCGCATAATAGCAGTGTTTGTACGGGTTTTGAAACCCCAGGAAGTAAGATAGCAAACCCTTTAGCCAGACGCCAGTTCTGCCAGGCGTCTTGTCAGATATTCTCCGTAATTGCCAATGACTGCCTTTCTCTCTCTCTTTCTCTCTCTCTCTTTCTCTCTCTCTCTCTCCCTCTCTCTCTCCCACACTCTCTCCCCTCTCTCTCTCCCTCTCTCTCTCCCTCTATCTCTCCCCCTCTCTATCTCACCCTCTCTCTCCCCCTCTCTCTCTTTCCCTCTCTCTCCCCCTCTCTCCCTACCCCTCTCTCTCTGTCAAGTAGGTTCACTCATCTCATTTGAATACTGGTTTATCTGTTAGTTCCACTTCTGTATTTTTATTTTAAACGCATGCAATTGCCAAATGTCTTCTCCAAAATGTTAAAATATCCAATATAAAATCAGTTTATCGGAGTAGCCACTACCATTTCCAGGCGATCAGATTTTCAACTTTAATAAAATAATACGACATACAAATTCCATTAGTGATACTTACTAGGTTACAATCTATCCAACACTACCAAGTTCATGTAAAATACTAAATGGCTAATTCCATTTTCAGCCCTGACATGAACCAACATTAATACAACGTATCTATATATAATCTGTTATCGGGTTTCTCCCCCCCCGCCACAAGGTTCGCTCGGTTTCTTAAGAGAGTTTTTTTTTTTTTTTATTTCAGCATTGTCTTTATACGACATATTGACACGTATAAGTGCACGCACATACATTTTATATCTATTTATAAAAATCTGTAAAAAAAATGCTATATTTATAGGGGAAAAGTGTTCAATATCGGAGATAGAAGGTTTATAGATATAGACAATGTTGATTCCTATGTCTACTCACACACACACTTTCTCTCTCTCTCTCTCTCTCTCTCTCTCTCTCTTTCATATAGTTGTGTATTTTGGCAGCAGTCCCTATTTAATACATGTTTCGTTAAACAAGACTGACAAGGCGCTTTTATTTGGTATTTTTTATTGATTTTCTCGTATGCCTACAGGAGATTTCTGAACTTAATGAATGTAAAAATTGTCCAAAGGCTTGATTCTTAACACTTTCGGTTAAACCCAGTGATTCCCAACGGGGTTCCACATAGCATTTCTAGTGGTCCACAGAAAATTCGTAGCCATAAAATTTTTTTAGCCATTTCACAAAAGTGTATCTAAATTATTCATACTTTGAACAATTAAAAATATAATATTTCGTTTAATTACACACATGTCTGTTATATTTGAAAAATTCGAAATTACGTAGGTATTATGTAATGCTATATTTATTTTATTTTTTTATCATATATATATATATATATATATATATATATATATATATATATATACTATAAATAATATACATATTTTATTCATATAAAAAAATTATCCATACGTTAATAGATTACTATACAATATTGTAATAGACTGAATGACATCATCAAAATTGATTATGATATCCTGTGTTTATCCTTGTTTACTAAAATCAATTTTAAAGTGTAAATAGACTACTTTGTCTTTTCATACTTACCTGGCACAGGGCTCGTCCCTGGGCTGGTAAGTATCACTGCTATGACTAGCTTAGACCAGCTCTGACCAGCTTGGGCAAGCTATGACCAGCTAAGACCAGGTTTAGACCAGTGACCCGAGTGGAAACATTCGGGTTCCCCACTTTAAAAACTGACCTTGTGTCACATCCTGACTCAGTGGGGGGGGGGTCAAGTAAATAGCTACTTTGTCTTTTCATTAAGTATTTTAGTGTGAAAATTGAACAGCCTAAAAGTAAAAGTAAGAGTGGTCCATTTGAATTTTTTTAAGAAAAAATGGTCCATAGGCTGAAAAAGGTTGAGAAGCACTATTAACTATTTTCAATGACTTTTTGTTACCACCATTTATAATAGTAGCATAAATGCTACTGTAGACAGTGTAAAAGTTGCTGAAAGTAGACATATTCTTAATTCGCAAATATTTCCAGTACATTGTGTCTGCGTTTGTAATTGATTTTGGCTTCTTGGGAGAGTAAGAATTGTCCAAAAGTTTTTTTTATTTTTTATTTTTTTTTATTCCAAGTGCTTTCAGTTAAAGTCTTAGCCATTTTCAAGGGCTTTTGTTACACACCACTTATTATAGTAGTATAAGTGCAATTTTAGACGATGTAAAAGTCGTTGAAAGTATACACATTCTTAATTTCCGAATATAGCCAGTACATGGTAGTTGTGTTCATAACTGATGTTATTAATGGTTGGTTTCTTGGAGGGGTGTAATAATAAGCGTACCCATAACCTTTAAACATTTTTTTGTTTTGTGGTTGGAGATATGTATCAAATTCGTGTTTTCGACAAGTGTATTACATATCTAGGTTGGTACAATTCCATGCTGGGTTAAATGTGTTTGTATGGTGCTTTGGTTAGAGAAATATACAGTCAGTTGTCTTGACCAGCTGGTGATGATGACGTCTAACATAATCCTTTATGGGTTTGTTTTCGTCAGCAAGATGTTATTTCTGATAATAATGTTGGACACACACATCCAGCTGTCAAAACGACTGGCTCTTCATCACCCTGATCAGGGCTTCATAGTGATACATTTAAAGCAACGCGGAATCGTACCAACCAAGATATGCAGTATACTCGTCGAAAACACAAATATGATACGTACCTCCAACTGCAACATCATCTGAAGCTATTATTATGAAAAAGAAACAAGAAACTAACCCTTAATAATACCAGTACGTCTACTCAAACATGCTTATCCACAAAAATAATGTCTGTAATAATAAGAAATAATGTGGATTAAAAATCCATTGATTTCTTTATATATATATATATATATATATATATATATATACGGGCCGGTGTATGCGTTGAGAGATAAACACGTGCGTCTTCTGAAATGCCCACAGCAAACATGGCAGACTCGGGATATGAGTCCACGTAAAGAAACACAAAGAAACGACAAGACCCAATATATATGTACAAACAAATGATAATCTATTAACAAGAAAGGTATACAAGTGATAAAGACAAAGATGTATGTGTCAAATGAATGTGAAAACCTAATAGTCCAAAGTATGCGCATTGAGTGTGTGTGTGTGTGTGTGTGTGTGTGTGTGTGTGTGTGTGTGTGTGTGTGTGTGTGTGTGTATTGTTCATGCGTTTCCCAAAGGGGACGCGTTCTCCGCGAGAAATTTACATGTTGACGAGTAAGCGGAAAAAATAAAAAGAGAAGGAAAAAAATAGGGCAGAATATTTATAGAGCGGAAAGCGTCGTCAAGGGACCGGTTTCGAAAATTTGGAGGAGTTAACCCGGCAATATATATATATATATATAAGTTTTGTGACATACGGTGGCCGTTATCAATTAATTATACCTCAATACTTCAATGTTAAGATAAAACTGTATTTAATTACAACCGCAAATCAATACTTAACAAGAACAAAGAAGTAAAATTCAACCAAAGATAATTAACCATTTCAGTGAATACCTTGTTATTATCGCTTCTCGGCTTAACGTCCGGTAAATCCTAAATCAAAACCCAAATCATCGACGAACAATAATTCACACTAATTCAACTGGATAGTTCCACTCAATAGTTACTCAATAATCACTGCATTTATACACTAGCTATACACCTGGCGGAAAACATATATTCATAAATCCAGAACCTCGGTGTCGCTAGTTACTCATTTTCTTTCTATATGAAAAGAGAGAGAGAGAGAGAGAGTATTAGTCTATTTATAAATCTTAAAAGCGTCCCATGGCAGCGGTTTTTTATTTGGAAAGTATTTGCGGGGGGTTAACTCCACAAGTCTATGAAAGCCAAATAAAAACCGAAAGGCAATTAAAACATATGCTGAAATTCACGTTCATTCTTTATGAATTTGAATTTCAAAACTGTATGCAGATAGCATAATGGATATCAACACGGAACCGGGTTCAAATTCTGCCTGAGTTGGTTATGTTTGTACTAATGAACTCAGAAAAGGTAGGAATTCATCTCTTCTTCCCACAACCACCCAGGACTGACTGAGCTAGCTAACCTCAACTGGCAGCCAGTCTAAGCGAGCTACTACTCTGAATAAAATCCTGGATAAATCTTGGAATATGTTGTGTTCAACTGTCTGGTAATCCATGACAACATGTGATATTTAATAATATTCCGTGAATAAAAATGTCACTTTTCATTTATTTTTAATCATTTACTGTTTTAAATTTGAAAATCTTTGTATTTAATAACTAGCTCATTATTTCCTTGAAGATATTTTTCATTTACGGCTGTATTTACTTTATTCCTTTCTTCGTCTTTAACCACTTGGGAATACCAGATACTGTGAGCTTTCATTTTCGGTTGGTGCAATGGATAATGGCTCAGAATTGGAAATCGGAGATCCGAGTTCCAATTTCAATCGGGTTCGTTCTAATCATTTACGCGCATATACCCTTAGGGAAAATTCTCTTCTCTCCCCAGCTATGAGTTAATTAGGACTTGTATCAGTTAATCATTATTATCTCCATAAAATTCATACAATCTATATTTTCTGGCTTTATATAAACTGCAAAAGGTTGATAAACCGTAAAAAAATCAATTAAGTACATACCCTCAACACGCACTGACGATGATTGATAGACATATGAAATGTAAAATATTTCATGTTTTTTCAGTATGTTTCCTACTTAACATATTCTTTTTTCCTTCTCGTTTTATGACAACCAGAAATTAATTTCTTCTTTGACAAATTCCCCACATACTTTTTTCAATCTTTGCTTATCTTCCTTCGACTCACTCATTTCTGTTTGACGTTGCAAGTTTCTTCTAGAAATATTTACTCACTGCATTAGTGAACAGTATATGAAATTAGTTTGCTAAGCATCTCACCACTTTAAAAAAAAAATAAAATAAAACTCTTTACAATGTTCTTCTGTGTGTACGAAGCAATTTAACAGAGGGAATTTATTGTCACAAGCCGCTCCAACCCTCGTTAACAGAAGGATTTATCAGTGTCGATACGTTCATGAAAAACTTACACGCTTACCCATCTTGCGATCTCTCCTCCTCTCTTGATGGATGTATTTGTGTTCGCGCATACGTGCGTCAATGCAATTCGATTTCTCTTTTTCTTTTTGTTAAGTTTATTTTAACCTTAAAGCTCAGTATTACACACATTATCTCCATTTTTCCATATTTCACAAATTAGATATAGTTTCTTATCTAAACAACTCTATTTATTGTTTATATTTTATTCATTGGCCCTCTCATAAATTTCATTATTTACGTTTCGCTTGTTCTTTCTCGATCCACTGCTTCAAAGTATTTTCTATCTTCAATACTTTTCTTCTTAAGCACACACATTCTACATATTCTTTACATACTTGTACCATACTTATCTGCCCTTGGCGTGTTTGTTATGGTAATTACCTCCCTTACTAGCATTTTTCAGTTGACGAATTGCTTAGTCAGGGAATGTTTCATTAAATAAATCCTTGTTACCAGTCTTGTCAGCTCATTTCAATATTCTATTATTGAAATGATACGATATTTCTCCATTTATCTTTTCTTTTAATATCTAATATTATACTGTCGATCAGTGGTGAACTGGCCAGTGTGTCATCTTAGCTGGAGCGCTCCCCCCCATATCAAATAAAAATCTAATAAAGAAACAAACGCAGATAATTGTTTTAGTAATAAAAACAAATAAGAACTTTTATAAAGTCATCTGCACACTATCAGTTACTCAAGTCAAGTGTGAGAGGACATTTTCAAAGCTAAAGATCAAAAAGACATGGTTAAGAAATTAACTGAGGAGAATTTGGAATCATATACGTTGCTATCCATTGAAAAAAAAATTATTAGATCAATTGGGTGTATAAGCAATTATTGGCAGATTCGCACAATAATCTAGTAAATAAAAACGATTGCTCTTAATGTAGTGGACTGCATTCAATGTTTTATTGTACTTTTGAACTATTTGTTGATGTGTAAATTGTGAGGTAAACTATTTAAAAATATTAACCAATTACTTAAAATTAAAGAAAAATAAAGAAAAAATTCCATTATAACATTCTGTATTGACATTTGGCATCTACTGCCAGTAATATGTACAGTACATATACACTGTAATTACTAAATACGCATTTTTTCCAAAAAAAAATTTAATATGTAAAAATACATATGGGGAAAAGTTTCCATATGTATTTTTTGAAAATTTTATTTATTCGTTATGAAAATTAAATTGCAATTGTGGGGGGACCCACTTTGTCTCCTGACAAACCCAACCTGCCACTACTGCCGACATACTATAAAAATATTAGTTAATAGTGTAAAATAATTAAAAATAATAATTAATTAAAAAGTGTGAATAAATAAATGTTAAATGTTCTGATTTTGTTTTATACACTTATTTTTAAAAGAAGTGTATTAAAAGAAAACCAAATGGTTTATTAAAAAGTTTTATTTTATGTGTAAAAGTGTTTTATTCAGAATTGGCTCTAAAAAGGGCCGCCAGAAATAACTGTCATGGTGGACTGTTCAGGATTCATTTTTCAAATTCAGAAAAAATATATTGCCATAATATTTTTTGTCCAATGAAAAATGTGGTTTCCGCCCTCATAAAATTTAAAGTTGGAGCTCGTTGATCCACATCTGTGGATATTTAAGACGGGTCAGTGGATGAACGAACAAAAGGTGGTTAGATGGTTGTTGCATAAAGAAAGGCATCTAATCACACAAAAGGGAATAGATGTCTCAAATGACCAAATTTGGTTGGTAGAAAGAAGACAGGAATGTGACGAGCGTCAGATATGGATCTTCTTTGGATGGAACTAAGGATTCCTCATGAGAAAGTTGCCAACAGAACAAAAGGCAGAAAAGGCTTGGTATTCTTAAAAACTATGCCGACAACAAAGAAGAAGAACAAAGAGCACCTTTGGATGACCACGATAGAAAAAATTTAAAACAAGGAAATTGCAAAAAATCGTTAAACCTCCTTGGGATTTTCGTCGTAAAAGCATGTAGGTTTTTTAGATTATCTATTAGATGGGTACACCCTTTTTTTCTAAGTAATTCCTTTTTTTTTTTCAACAGTTTTCGTATCTCCTTCTCAATGGATTTTTTTTCTTCTTGATTTGAAAAAATGTGTATTGATAATCTTATTTAGAGCCAATACTTCCTATAATTTTGTAATGTTATCTTACCTTGTTCTTCATAAAGCGCAAGAAAGGAAATTTTAGTGCAATACCTTTTTTGTCAAATGTGTATTCTGTTATATTGTTTTTATCAGTTTAATAAATGTTTGTAACTTTCAAATTTCACGAGGTAGTTTCAAGTCTTTGTTAAACTTTGCGCCTTTTTTAATATTCGGGATAAGAAAGTGGACGTTCTCTCTTTAACTATTCTCTCCCCGAAAAAAAATTAACTTCTTTTAATACTTCTTGTATATAATTACTTACTTTTATATCTTATGCTTTTTTTAACCATCACAAATAATAATATATTAATATTAATAGTATATTAAAACTACTATAGCCATTGGACTATAATGTAATATTTTGCAGGTAGGCCAATGACATAAAAGACAATGTAAAAAATTAAAATCGCAATTGTTCTATTCTAGTAGGTATCGGTGAAAATAATCTATTAATGTTTCATGTAGAGATAAAGAAAACAACGTATACATACGCACAGACACAAGGTACGTTTAAGTCGCTGGATATTTTGTTACCCATTATAAACAGCGGATGATTCATTTTTCTGTATAAGTAATTGGAATCGAAGTTTGTATAACATCCAGTGAATGTCGATTTACGGTATAGAAGTGTAATGAATCCACTTTCTGTTCTCATAGTCTCCACCATTTACCTTCGATTCTCTTCTTTTTCTCTTTTCATCCTCTATTCATATTCTTTCTTCAAATGGAAATGTTGCGCCAAAAAAAGAACAAACCAATTCCAATATTTTTACAAACTGTCAAACTTCTTAATCCAATTTGTCCGTATCTCGTGTTACTCAGATTACAACCCATGTATATTTATTTCAACGATAATCTTTATGCTTTTATTGCCACTTTTCTTTCACTGATAAATTAATCTGTCACAGAAATTTCATTAGTAAATGATTTATACCGCAGTAGTTTCGACACAATCATCCTCTTTTCGTATCATATTCTGAAGTCCATATGAAAGAAAGACGTCCAAGGAATCTATGAATGTTAGCATGTTTTATATGAATCTGTGTCCCTGAAGAAATTTTTATTACAGAGGAAAATAAATCATTGCTTCCAATGTTTTAATGTTTGTAGGAAATTCAGTCGTTCAGGTTTTTATATTAAAAATCTGAACGTTGGAATTCAAAAAAATAATGAAAATAAAAATAAAGAAACCTGGTTATGCCTGTTAAAGAACTCATTTGCAATTACAAACATATGAACATGAATTCAAAAAGGAGTAAAAATAGTCTTTCGCTGAGTTAAAGTTTTTGGATAGTTGGTTCACAGAAATCACTGTGGTTTAGACAGGACTTTTAACTAGTTGGTCTACAGAAAAAAAAACTGTGGCTGAAAAGGGCTTTTATCGTTAGAGAATATTCACTGACCATCTTTCTTATTGTTGTTGAAGATGATTCGTCTGAAGTCGCCGACTGGCCGTCAACGAAAATTCACTGACCGTTCAAGATGTTGTTGTAACTGATTCATTTGAAGTCGCTGAAACATGTTTCTTTCAACACGCGCTTTCTCTAAAACCACGTCGGTTTGGAGATCGTCACACTTCTTTGATTTCTTGTGTTCGGCTTGGAGAAAGCCGCGTCACTGATCAAAAAAATCGAAATATGTGGGTTTTTAAAAGAGATTTTCCCGAAAGTAGGCTCGAGAAAAATAGGGTTTTAGTTTACTGTGATTGGTCAAATATTTCACTAGGTGATGTTAATTTCTAACCAATAGTCATTTTGATTTAAACGGTGTGTTTTGTGCTGTGGAATCTTTTTGGTATGCTTGTAATACTGTTTGTTATTGGGGAGAAAATAAAGTTTGGGTGTGTTTTAACATGGTATTTATGTGGGTATGTAATTTTTGTTTGAAATAGGGTTTATTTCCTATATGTTCATAATCTTTTTCTATCGTCATACATTATGTAGGAGTGCGCTTGCGTGAAAAAGACAAAAATGTGTGTGTGAATTCAGTTATTGATTGAATTGTTAAGAAGCAATGAAACTTTAGTTTAAGTAAATTTACATATCTTTCATACAGGTATCTGTCTATATTTCTGAGATGAGATATTATAATTATTTACACTATTTACATTGTTCGGACTGTTGACCTCATATTCAATACCTGGCTACAACAGAAGTGAACAAAAACTTCGCCAACCACAATCTTCTGTTTTCCTGAATCAAGTTCTAATCATTAAAGTCTTCTCATTCAGGCGTCACTGTATTGGAGAGCTGAGTTAAAAGGGAGTTAAATGATACTGAGACATCCGAAAGAGGCGTGGCACGAGGAACGAGAACAATGTACTTTAGTGGGGGAAATAAATAGTTCAGTTCAAAATTCCAGTCACCTGAAGAAAGCCGGAGCATACAACGACCGAAACGTTGTGAATATGGCAACGAAGATGAGAACAATAATCTGAACAATGTAAATAGTGTAAATAATTATAATACCTCATTTCAGAAATATAGACAGATCTTGAAGAAGGCCGAAGCGTACAACAGCTGAAACGTCGTGAATATGGCAACGAAGATGAGAACAACAGTCCGAACAATGTAAATAATATAAACTTCTTTTATGCAGGATTGAATATGTTCCCATTGCGAGCATGCATTTTTTATACAGCAATTAGAAAATATTTAATTTTTATAAAATTATAAATAATCTAAAATGATAGTTTTTTTTTTTTCTAAAATCTGAATTTATGATAGCAAGGGTTCTAAATAAATCCGTAAGACAAAATTCATCAGAAAAGTTTTAATTTTGAAAAACTGTTTATCAGTTAATATTCATTTCGATTATGCGTTAACTTTTTAAATATTAAATATGAATGCATACATTTAGTTCCACATAGTTGAAGACAGAAAAAAAAAAAGGAAATCTGATAAAAAAAGGGTGGGGCTCTCGCGTCGAAATCACCCTAGTTTCCTCGAAGTCATCAGTGTAGCAAAACTGATTCTTCAAATATCGACACGTCGTGAACTTCAATGAGAAAAAACGTTATCTGCCTGATGCCTCACAATGGGAATGTTCTAGTTTCAAAAGTATAAAGTCGTTTCAAAAGTTTAAGGTATTTACACTGTTTTAAAATCAATTTTTTCTTTTATATTTATTTCAAAATCGATTTTCTCATCATAGGTCAAAACATTTCAAATTGAACCTCATAACTCTCCACTGCTAAGTTTAAGCGTTTCCCGTAAGATAACACGAGTCAATAGTAGAAGCATATACACTCGGGGCGATTCAAACTTTGACCTTCTAGATACATTCCTCTTCCAACTTGAACCCCGGATGTACACGCCTGACAAATCTTGTTGACGCTAAATATAGAATTCTAATTGACTTCCGCCTTTTTGTCAATTATATATATATATATATATATATATATATATATATATATATATATATATATATATATAAACTCCTGTAGTTAGCTAGAGATAGTTCCTGCTCACCGACTCCCTTTATCGCTATTCTTGACAACCAATTGCAAGCAGTAATGAAAATAAGACAAGGAAAGGGTTTTATACTACTTTTGCGAGAATGAACATTTGTATTGTATATAAAACTACTGTTTTCTCTTTCGTTCTCTCGTATGGAGGAGATTGGGTGACCCTCTGCACGGAGACATAACATCCTGAAGAATAGAAGCATCATATGTGCCCATTGTCTGTAAAGTGGGTAATTTAAACTAATCTTGACACACAGCAAATAAAACAAAATTTACATTCCTTTGACCTACGATCTGATGATGAAATTGCCGCTAATTCTTGTGCCATATCTAAATTTGTCAGTCAGTTATGTGCCATACGTGATTCGCGATCATGTATCTTTCAATACATGACTGACGAGGCAGATTTTTTTCCCCGCAGTAGATTGCTATTTCTTTCTGCGATAGACCAGTTGCCATCCAACGCTATAGAACTTGGTCTGTCCTGCTATTTACTTCTTCTCTCCTGCCATAGCTGGAGGGAGAAGAAGAGAATTCATACCCTTGGGATACTCTTAGCACGTAAGGGAATGTAATGGATTTGACTGGAATTCGAACTCTCCGATTCCTCAATCCGAGACGCTTATCCGTTACTCCCCCGTACCCCCTTCTAAATTTGTACTAAATCCTATCCGAATCCTTTCCTCCTTTTCTGTATAGTTTTCATACAACGGAAAGGCATGACAACATTCCACTAGATTAAATATATCGATGAACCATAATATAAACAGCATAATCACTTAAATATGAAAACAAAGCCACAAGACATAATGTTAATGCTACCACGGATATCAAAAAGATCAAGACAATGACACATAGTAGGACTCGAATCGTATATGCAGATATTTATGATGATTATAGAATGACAAGTAAAAGATTAATCGGGTTCTGAACTGTCAAAATAGATGATAATTATTTCGAACGATCAGGAATATTGTTAAATGTATAGCGAAATAGAAAAAGAGGCTTATCTTAGAAGGGATATATATATATATATATATATATATATATATATATATATATATATATATATATATATATATATATATGCAAATAAAGAAAATAACAGTCAGATTAACAATCCACAGTTCTTCAGCACTTATTTTTAAAAGTGCTCGATACAAAGTAGAGCATAATATTATAATATATATTGTGATAATATTATATATATATATATATATATAATAGCAATATATTTAATATTATATTAATTATATATATATACATATAATATTATAATTATATATATACATATAATATTATAATTATATATATATATATATATATAGCAAAATCATACTTATAAAACCCAGGTTGTGTGTGTGTGCGTGTGTGCGCGCGTGCGTGTGTGTGTGTGTGTGTGTGTGTGTGTGTGTGTGTGTGTACGTTTATATATTGGATCGGATTTCCTACATTTTTCAACCGATTTCAACAAAACTTCACAGGACTACGTAAAATTACCTTGCGGTGGTTCTGGCAGTGCCAAAAATTGGAAAAACACAATTGTTTTTGCATGAAATCAATTTGAAAACACGATTAAGAGTCATCGTGTGAATGAAAGGGGGACAACTCATATCGAGTTATACTTATTATAAAACCCAGGTTGTTTGTGTGTGTGTGTTCGTTTATATATGGGATCGGGTTTCCTACATTTTTAAACCGATTTCAACAAAACTTAACTTTTTTCTTTTTTTTTTTGGCAGATAGTGTTTCTTATTTTCTTGCACACTTTTTTCTTTATTTTTACATTCAGAATCCTTTAAAAATTACATTTACAAGACAATTGTTTATAATAAAATTCTATTCAATCGGTAGACTCATAACGATTGAAAACAATGTTTTTGTTTGAGTTTGGGTTTGACCAGTTCGTAAAAAAACAAAAAAAAAACTAATTAAGACATGCGTGTCCGTCAACCTTAAACAATAATCTTTGTCAATTTTATTTTTTCAGTCTTTATGATGGTCGATACTTGATCTATCTCTTACTGTTACATCCCCAGGCAACGCCGGGCTCTACTGCTAGTATTATAATAATTATATATATATATATATATATATATATATATATATATATATATATATATATATATATTATTGTATATGCGTAGAACTTAGTGGAAAGCACACAAATATCAGTGATAGAGCTAACATATTCAGTTGTATATGAGTTTAAGTTTGTTATCCTGGGTTTGTCTGATGATCGTAAAAGCGTGAAACTCAGGGTCACAAACCCATATCCATACAACTATATATATATATATATATATATATATATATATATATATATATATATATATATATATATATATATATATCGGTATAACCATTTTCTCGGCGTCGTGATCACGTTGGGTTCACCAATTTGTAGATAGTTGTGTTAACGATTGTGGTTGAGTCTACTTATAGTAGCAGATAAGTGTTACAAAGTTATTTAATAGTGGTGATTGATTGAAAGTTGTTATGAAGGAGATATTGTTTTTATTATGGCTTCGCTTTTGAAAAGATGATTTATCAAATGTTTTCAACGCTTGCTGCATGTCCTCTGGTTTTTGTGAAGGTAAGCCCGCCTGAAATAAGCATATTCCTGTCAGACCTTAATTTATTGTCGTAATAATGTTATGAGTTGGGGTTGTTTTAACTGCATTTTGTCTATGTACCTACCTCCACAGATTCGCTACACCAAAGATTTAAAACTATTTTTTAAAAGATGAAAAATCTTTCTTGAAGCTTTTATTTTAGGATTGATTTCAAGCTAATAGATTCAATTTAATATTTCCACTAAATACTGTACTCTGTTTCAAAACTAATTTAAATTGACTGGAAGGAGCTTTCATTTTGAAATTTCAGAATTTAGCGCCATTTTTAGCCATCTGTTATCAAAATGTAATTCTCTTTATTAAAAAAAAAATCTTCAAAATAATATATACGTTTCTGATACTTTATTTGAGAAATATTAGCTGATTTAAGGTTTAATTAATCTGATTTGAAACAAATATTTTCAGTTTAAAACGTTGCAGAAATGCATTTTTTAAGATTTTAGCTGTTTATTTATGTCGACAGCTTGGTGACAGATGAATGTTTATCTACGGTGGATATATCCGTGAATAATAATTAAAGAATATAACATGTGACCAGATTTTATATAATTTTTAAGTACTTAGTAATCTTTAAAAATTAGGAAAATATTCCCTGTAATCTAATGTTTTGTTGAATTTTAGATACTTTGGTTTTAAATTTAGTATAGTTATGTCTCTTATTTTCTGATAATTTTGTGTATGAACACCCGTATCTACAAAAATTGGCACGTTTATACACATACAAAAAAATTCAAAATTCTTTTTAAAATACTCGGGGTCCATAAATTGTAATAAAAATTACGACTTATGATTAGTAAACATAGTTTTCCTTAATAGCAATATTCCCTAACCTTTACACAGAAACTGAATTTTATAAGCTCTAAAACTTTATAAATTATTTTAATTAAAATTTTTCAAAAATGAAAACAAATCTTGTAAAAATCATTATTCATCGATTTTTTTTTCTTTTAAAACAATAGTGCCTTTAATATATCTTATCCATAAAAGCAATTAAAATCTTTTCTAATTAAATAATGTCTTAGTTTTATTGCGATTTTTATTTTACAATTTAGAGCAAATTTTCGGCAAGACGGGGTCCGATTTTACAAGAAGAAACTAATGATGTAAATTCTCCAAGGAGTGTTGCTTTTAATTGATATAGTCATTAAAAGTTATCTCATTTTTTATCAAGTTTGGGGCATTTTTTTTCATCAAAGTATGCTATTTTTTCAGTGAATTAGTAAAGGTACCTAATTTTGTCTTTTATTTTATATTACTTTTTATATCTTTCTTTTTTCTCATCTGATATCAAAATCTTGTTCTTTGATTTTTTAGAACAAAAGTAAACCTGAGATTTAGCAAATTACATATGATTTTATTATAAGATATTAGAACATTTTGTGTAGATAGATAGATAGATAGATAGATAATGTTCTCTTTATAAATAAATTATATATATATATATATATATATATATATATATATATATATATATATATATAATTAGTAGGGATAATTCAAAAGAGGATATAAATACAAAGAGCTCCATGAAAAAAAAGAGTGAAAATATACAAAAAGGAACATCTTTTTTGCTTGTCATGTCCGAAGCATTTCTCTTATTTTAATCCCTTTTTTCTACCCCTTTCTCTTTTTTCTTTTTCTTTTTTCATTTTCTTTTCTTTTTTCATGTGTTCGTTTTTAAATATATTCACTCTCTTTTACTTGTCACATCCGGTGAAAGACGGTCAACCCGTAAGCAATTTCTTAACAACTTTCTTCTATTCCTTTCCCTAACTCTCTCTCTCTCTCTCTCTCTCTCTCTCTCTCTCTCTCTATTTCTCACCCTTTCTCTCTCTCTCTTTCACTTCCCCCATATTAAAACCTTATTTTAAGATCTATATCTCGCCCTCTTATATTTGAAAAAAAAATTATTTTCGCTTGTGTCTGCATAAATTTAAAATTCTTCTAATTGCTGTAAAATGTCTGAAGAGACGGGGTCTGCCTTATCACGTGAAATAAATTATTACCATGGATTTCTAAAATTTCCGCTTTCACCATTATATATATATATATATATATATATATATATATATATATATATATATATATCCAAGTATATAATTGGTATATACGGAATGAATTCCAATAACCAACAATTACTATTTTATCATATAATTTTATAATTATTGGTTAGTATAAATTATTTTTAATATTACACGTATTTTAAAGATCTGAATAGCTATTATAACATGATTTCGTTGTCAAGCTTTTTTGAATCTTTCTATACTTGGTTTTTGATTGGTTATTCTAGCTTTTGTAACAATGTTTTTCCCTAGTAGGGATCGTTAATTAATCTGAAAACTTTTAAAACCATTTATATTATTTTCAACATCATCACTTGATAAGACACAGAGTGTTGAAACAAAATGGCTATTTTTGTAGTGATTTTATAACATACTTATGTTATAATTTTTTATAAAAAATAATTATATATATATATATATATATATATATATATATATATATATATATATATATATATATATATATATATATAAAATATGCATATATACTTGTTATAACCTTTTTTTTTTATATATATACTCGTTTTAAATAGACTCTTTTTTATGGTGAATAGATGATGTCGCGTATCCCTTCACATCATAATTAGTAGCGACTGCAATCCCAAGAAAAAAATACTGTAAGAAATTATGAACATTACTTAACAGCACATTATTTTATGGTTTTTATTAGCGAACCAAGATATTTTTGTTCACGATAGCAGCAGTATGATTTAAATTCTGCGCATAATATGAATGCATGCAGCCATGACATTGACATTACTCTTTCGCTCGCTTACAATTCCTTATGGCAGCTAACACCTGTTGTTATTTCAACGATATTTATATATAATAATAGTTTAACCCTTTGAGCTTTACCGGTGGTAGAGAAAAATGACGTAATGCCCAGTCAGCGGTTGAACAGTGGGTAATCAATTGTAACTATTTTTTTATATCTACCGTGAAACATTACATACCAATTGTTTGCGAATTTTGACTCAGGAGTTCAGGCAGAAAGGTTAAAATTGTTCAGCAACGCAGGAGTCAAAGGGTTAAATGTACTGTTATATCATTAATAAAGAGAGTAACGTATCTGTCACTTCTCTAATTTCTGAAAATTTATATAAACTTTGGCATGAAGGAAATTCTTATTTACAACTGCCAGCTAAGTATTTTTTAAGTTTATAAATCTGAACATAGCGATTTTGCCTCTAGGCAACGAATTCCCTGGCTCTCTAAAGCCCTCACAGTAATTTTAAATCTGTACTTTTGCGAGAAAAAGTACCTCACATTGTGAATCAGGTGTGTATATTTTCTGTCAATTTCAATAACCCACAATTTAACCATTCAAAACATTATGGTTGTTTTACATTTACATATTGAAGCTATTTGATGTTGAGACTACACCTCAAACTGTTTTATTAAAAAAAAAAAAAAAAAAAGCGTGAATCCATATAAATTGACATTCAACCAAGCAACCAGAAGCCAGTATAAGAAAAAAAATTTTGACAAATTGGTACTTACCATACTTGCTTTGAGATCCTATCAAATTAAAGAAAAAACATGTCCACTAATTTAAGAGATATTCAAGTGCTGTCATTTGCACATATTTATACATGTTTGATTAATTTCCTCCACACAACTCACCATAGTATAAAATAAACTATGGTTCTCTCACTAATAAAATTTTAAAATATTGCCTCACCAGTTGCTACTTGTCATGCTTTCTGCTCTACTTATAAACCGTTTACTTAGATATCTGGCCAGTGGCTGACTATTACTATTTATTTAAAAAGAGAATCGATAAATTAATAGCCTCTTCTTTTCCACTAACTTCACAAACATTTTCAATTCAATGTGTGCAGGCACACAAAGACGTGAATAACAACCAATTCGAAAATCTGTCTTTAGATCAATTTATCTGTTATTATGCTAGTTTTGATAACGAGTTTCTTCTGCTTATTACTAGACGTCGAAGATTAGGTCACTTGGATCTTTAATCCAATATTAATCTAACGATAATCTAAGGATATGGAACATTTATGTGAGTTTCACCAAACCGGAAATTAAAACCAGTGTATCAACATTTAGCTTAATTTTCGTATTGATAATCAGCTAGTAAAATAAAATTTGTCACAAACTATTTTATCTAGTTATTTTCGCTTCCCTTGTACATGTGTGCGTGCGTAATGCTGCATATCATACATTGGCCGGAACCGAAAGAAAACAAAAGTTTTTCGTTGTTCGGGATAGAAGCAAACAGAAAAATAAGATTTAAATCAAAACTTAATTACACTTTGACAATAAATAAATAAAACAGAAATTGATTCGGTGGGGCGTTTTATTGTTCAGTTTTCAAATTGAATTCAAAGATTATCTAACCCAAACCCCTACTACACTCGGGGAGGATCGAAAATATCTTGTAACAAAATTCATCTGTTCCAGGGTGAATTATCTATTTTTTGCGATTCACCCTTTCCTTGTGAGTTTTAACCAGTTCACCATGAAATGCATCATATTCTTTTCAAACCACCTGTTCTAATTAATTAACACTATCTTTTGTTCTCCTGATGGCTCGGCTCTACCGTTTTTCTTAGACTACTTATGGACCACTCTTTGATTGATTTGCTAGCTTCTTTCTTTTGATGTGCCGTGTTTCTTCAGAACGTAGGCAATCATGGCTCTCCACTTTTTCCTATTCTTTTGTAGCTCTCAATAAGTTTCGTCCTTCTGCCACTTCCCCCAGACCACGTTCACTCATCCACTTACTTAAGCCCGCTATGTATGTCACGCGTTGGTTTCCCTTGTCTCACTTTCCCTCTATTCGACCCGTGAGTATCAGATTCTCCAAGCCCTCCTTTCTCATTACGTTTCCCGGAAATTTCAGCTGCCTCTTCCTGATGTTAAGTATAAGCTTCCTCTTTGTTTGCATCCTCTCCAAAACCTAATCGTCGCTCACACGCTCGGTCCATGATATCCTTAGCATCCTTCTGTAGCACCATGCCTCCGTTGCCTCGAGTTTTTTCATATTTGAGGAGACCGTCCAACATTCACTGCCATAGAGGAGGACAGATGTCACGTAACAGCTTAGATTTTTTTTTTTTTTTTTTGTTACCAAAGAAATCCTATTGTCTCACAATACTCTGCCCAGCTTTTAGAATGCTTCCTTGGCCATCCCAATACGTCTTCGGATCTCAGCGTCGCACTTACCGCCCTCCGTCAAAACACTTCCCAGAGCTACTGCTGCCAAATTTTTGTCTATCTCCCTTATGCTCACCTGATCCATTGTCACGCGCCAAGTTACTCTCAGCCTCAGACTTGTTTATACCGTGAAAGTGTTTTTCCCATATTACTGTTTGATAACGTACAGCTTCATTAGACAATAGCTTTCCTATATAGAAAGAAGATCATTTCAGAAACAGATACAAGTATAAGCACACACATACAACCAGACACGCACACACGTCAATCTATTTTATATTATTTACTTCTCGGGTGTTCTTCGAGAAAATGTTACCATAATAAAATTATTTTGTAAAGAATTCCGGAATGAAGTAAACTTTGATTGGAATTCCCACGAAGAGAATACTTAGATGTAGACTCAAGATCTTTTAACCGGTAATTCATTTTGAATTATTTCAGACTGAGAAATACACACGCCCAAAACTCACTTATTTTCTGAATGATAAGGGCATTCTATTCTAATTTTTAACATTTCACCGTCACTTTGGACGGTAAACCTTCGTAAATTGTTTACTTTTCTCATCCACTATACTTTACTGTTATTCAATTGTAATTTCGTCTTGAGTTTTCTTTTCAATCTAAGGGTTTCATACTTTCTTTTCTCTTCATTTAATTACCGTAATTCCCCATGTATAATAAGCAATCTTTTCTAAAAAAAAAAAAAAAATAAGCAAAATTAGGTGTGCGTATTATGTACAGTTACAAAAAAATCTTTAAAAAATTACCGTTTCGTTGGTCGATTTCAGTTGCGAAATGACTACTCACCACAAACATACGATTTGACACAAATATTCGGCGATTGCGACCCAATAAGGATATCAAATACAATCATATGTACCTAACAATACTTACAAATGTAAAATAAGAATTATGATAAAACTAGATTAGAATATTATTCTATGCTTAGAACTATTTTTAATGAGAGTAGAAAACGCTGGCCATAATTAAATTGGAGAGGTACAATTTATAGGGCTTGATTACCAAACAAGGGGGTGCGTATTATGCATGAGTAGAAGCATTTTCCCGCACTTTCAGCACAATTTTAGGTGTACGTATTATGGATGAAGGCGTATTATAGATGGGGAATTACGGTAGTTCTCTAAACCAATTTAGTAATTTATTGTTGATACACAACACTGAAGCATTTTCCCTTCTCTTCAGTAATGATCAATATATCTCTCTCATATGCAAAGAAAGACATATTAGTGCATGCAGCAGACAAATCCTTTTGTGTCTGCTATTTTATCTACACTTCAATTTACGATATATCTCATACTAATGAGTCATTTTTCATCCATTTTATTCAAAGAAACATTATGTCATTTCTTCATTCTGTTCGAGTCCTTGAAGCTGAAAAAACATTTTATCGGATTAAATTTCCAGCACCCCTCTCTTAATATTTTCATCGCTCCATGACTAATTCTATTTTTTTTATCAGTAAATTAAGGAATTCAAAGAAAGTTCTTTTCCTTTATTTAATGACGATTATATTCCACTATCGCATATCCTTGTTTATTAATTAAAATGTTTGGATGTCATTTGAGTGTGTATTGTCCTGCACTTTAGTTGGGGTATGTCTGTATTTGTTC